TGCGCCGATGGCCATTTCCGATATAAATTTACTAGGAGTGTCCCTTGCTACGGCGAAGTATCTATTATCTAGCCTAAAACCTGAACCCTAAGAATGATTTAGCCTAAATCATTCTAATCATAATCCTAACTTTCGATCCCTCAACCTAACCTAAACCCTAATTCACTGCAACTATAATAAACACACAAAAGACGCCGTGGCAGCCGTCCTTAATATTAGCCTAGCGTCTTTTTGTTCATGTACAAAAACCATTTAACAAAATTGAACAAGATAAAAATAAAAAAAATGTAGCCTACATTTCATGAATCTTTTGTCATTTACGAAGCCATCGTGGGAAAACAAGGAGAACTCTTCTGTCTTCAAAGATACGTTATAAAAGTTGCCCAATTGGATATATTTAGATTTAAATAATTTAATTTTTTTTTATAGATCTATCTACTTTGTCTGATATTTCTTTCTAGCCCACTGGATCCATGCATAGCAATGTAAAGGTTGTACTCGCAAGGGACCTCAATATCAGGGGGCGCATTCGCCCAGGGCGCTGCTTTTCCTTTGCACGGTCGTGCATCCATTACGGACGTAACGCGGCTAGAATTTTGAGGGTGGGGGTTATGTGGGAAATTTTTGTTAAAAATTTAAATAAAATTGTAAATTTCCTATCTAAAAATTTGTGACATTTTCGATTTATTTCTCAATAAATAGCTGGTGATTTACTAAGACTAAGAGGCGAAAAGTGGGAAAGTAATGAAATATATGTCAGTATCGAAATAAACACCATTGCAAACAGATGACTAACAAAGCAACATGGTTCCATCCAGATACATAAAATCACTAACACTGCCTCTCATTTTACTCACCACAAACCAAAGTAAACTTAGGTGGCATCTAAATAATTAAGTTCCATCTATCAAATTAGAGCTGACCAACCACAGACCATTTAAATAGCTTATTTCCTACTATGACTCACAATTGTCGAGAAAAAGTCAATCCACTTGCATATGAAGGGGGCTGTGGAAGGGGGTAGTCCACACAGGTGCCACTTTTTAAAAAAAAAATATATGGAGGGGCGGCATTTTCGGCGAGCTGAAGAGTTTTTTTTTTTTTTTTTTAAACTTAGTGGTAGTGGGTGGCACTAATCCCTTGTCCGCTCGTAACGTTTGCCATAACTGCTTTTAAAAAAAAAATATATGGGGGGGGGGCATTTTCGGCGAGCTGAAGAGTTTTTTTTTTTTTTTTTTAAACTTAGTGGTAGTGGGTGGCACTAATCCCTGGTCCGCTCGTAACGTTTGCCATAACTGCTCATTATGAGGGCACGTTACACATCACCCAACGCTTGTACATTGGTCGCTCTCTGTTGTTGGTGGAATTCTATTACGTAGCCGAGTCTCTCGCATTGCACCTTTTTTTGCCCATGCGCTTGGTTTCCCTGGTCTGGTCATTCTCTGATACACTAAAATAATACGTCGGCATAGCTAGAGCGACGTGGCCTCCACGGCCTTGTCATGTTTCTGTTAAGTAAGGCTGTGGGCAGCAACGCAGTCGCCGCGGCTTCCCCATGTTAAGTTTACTTTAAGCAAATTTCTGATCGTTAATGCTGCATAAACTTTATGGTTTGTGCCCGCTGGGGTGGCCGCGCAAATGAATGCAGCTCAAGTAAACCCACAACTCACCATCACACATTATCCAAACAAAGGACTAGTGAACAAGTTAACGCGCAGAAAAGTGAATACCAGTATATAGAACATAGACAGCTGAATCCAACATCTGGGTTTGAAAAAGCCTTGCTGAGATAATCGTCATTCTTGACTTGTTCTTGTAAATTTATTTTCACTGCTAATTCGCAATGATTGGTTCCAAAAGATTTTCAGCTAATTTTATAAATAAGTAAATGTTTTTAATGTGCTGAAAATTATTTTTAAAAATTGTGTAAATAACCATTTTTATTATATTATTTCTTGGGCAGATTTTTGTTTCCTAAACTGGGTCTATTGATTTATAATTAAAAACATTAACATGTTCCACAATATGGTTTAAAATTTGTAAAAAAATCTAGAAAATTCTTATCTTTTGTGATAATTTCACAATGATATGCTTTAAATTTCATTTTATTTGACTTCTATTTTTCTAATTTTGCTTAATTGAATTTTTTTCTCTTTTCAAAGTGGTCCACTTAGGATTTTCCATTTATCTCTGACGTCAAATGTATTATGAGGAAAAGTATTATTACCACATGCTTCAAAATTTGCAAGGTTTTTTCTATTATATTCCCTACATATTCCCTACATATTCCCTACATAATGATTGCTGTTTTTTTTATTACATGTCTCATAAACAAAATTCCGAAGTTTTTATGAAGTTTTTATGATCTTATTATTTTTATTAGGCTCGAGTCTAGTGGGTTGTTGGGAAAATGCATTCATTTATTTTCTATCAATTATATTTATGTACTTAATTTTTTTTTTTTAAATTAACGACTGGAATGTGTTCATGATGTATGCATCCAATGTTGTTCAAATAACCTTTAATTTTTTTAATAAGGATCTGGCAGTGTCCTTTTCAGCTTTTATCGATATAGCATTTTCATTTTTTTCTGACGTCAATTGATGAATCAGGAGGAATAGTTTTGGAACTACATAATTGAAACTTTGCATGCTTATTTATATTGACATTCTCTACTTAATGATGGATGGTTTTTTAAACAAATATCTCAAAGGAAAATTTTTCAGAATTTTTTAATTTATGTATTTTTTTTTATTAGTTTTGTGTGTTAATTTTTTTTTCTATCTTTTCTGTCTTAGTTTTCTATTTTTTTTTAAAATTCATGAATGGTATATGTACATGGTGTATGCATCCTATATCATTCATGCAGCCCTCTAATTAAAAAAAAAAACACAATTTATACTTTTTAAAATTTTTATCAATTTTGCATTTTCCGGATTTTTTAGGAACGCCAAATGATTCGGGAGGAAAAGTATTCTAGCTACAGCCTTCAAACATTGCATGCCTCTTTTCATTGATATTCTTTACAAATTCAAGAGGCTTTTTTTTTTATATACCGGGTATATCCAACTAGAAAATTTTTATAACATTTTTACATTTGCTACCCCTGAAGAGTTCTCGAAAATTTATGTGACCCCCACATACATGCCACTTGTAACACTTCCAATAACTGCTATGTAATAAGCTTCTTTAAACTTTTTGTCAATGTTATTCTTAATGTGTATGCCAAGTTTCATTTACAATACAGTACAATAAGTTACAGTACAATGCAATACAAAGTTGTCTTTATTAATTTTGCATAAAAGTCAAAATTGGTATAAAATTTTTTATTTTTTTGCAATAAAAGTCACACAAAATAAAAAAAAAAACTTTAGTGGATTTTTGTCTTTCTGTTTGTGTATGGTTTGTATGTACTATATTTTTTTAATGGCTCTATTTATTTAGGTTATCAGTATTTTATTTTCAATGTGGCATGACTTAGTTGCCTTGAAGCCAAACTCCCTTCACAGATCACATATTATATTTGCTCCCACTCAATCATTACATCTGTACTTAAATGTAGAAATGATACAAATAAGAGTTAACTGGACAGGTACCAACAAGGAAGGTGAGAAAGTAAAAGGAGACAAATGGCAAAGGAATGATGTGACCTAATTGAATGAGTTTATTGGCTGCCTACTCCTTACTGGCCCCTAATTTATTTTATGGATTACTTGAGTACACAACTCAAATAACTAAAAACCAAACAAAAATGTTCTCAAGTCAGTTAAGGTTTTTTTTCTTTCTTTTAAATTTTAAATTATGTACCAATGTGTTAGACCCATTCGACAGATATGGTAAAAAAAAAGAAAGACGAGTGCTCCAAAAATAAGTCTCTTTCTCATGCTTTATACAATGGCATCCTTTAACTTTAAGATGTTCATTGTAACTACCTTGTGAATTAGGTCAAGTCAAATGAGAAAAGTTGTTGAAAGGAGATTCGAGATATCAGGAAAAACAGTCAGTGTTTGCATGTATGACTCCCAGTGCCAAGGAAAAAGTTTAAAATTGGTTGTTTTGTTCTGACTAAGCCAAGCTCTCTAGAGGAATAGTTGAAATTAATTCATTATGAATGAAATTTTCATTATTTAGAATACCTAATTAATTCATAAATCACTGTGTGATTAAATCTTTTAACTTAAACAATACACATAAATAATCTTAAATAAGAATTTAATTTTAATAATTAAATTAATATTATTACTTTTCTAAAATTCAATTGAAAACAATAAATGTATCTAAATCATCTTCATTACTAAAAAAAAAAAAAAAAAAAAATACAGAAAAGGTATAAAATAAAAAAAAAAAAAAAAAAAAAAAAAAATAATACAAATAAATAATCTTAAATAAGAATTTAATTTAAATAATTAAAATAATATTATTACTTTTCTAAAATTCAATTGAAAACAATAAAAGTATCTAAATCATCTTCATTACTAAAAAAAAAAAAAAAAAGATCTACGTAAATGGCTTAAACTAAAAAAGAAAATAAGAAAGAAAAAAATCTACCCATCCTAAGAGAAATTAACAAAGCAAAAATAAAAAAAACAACTAAAAAGAATAAAACTATGAATCTATGAAATAACAAGGAGAAATTGTTTTTTTTTTTTATTTTAAATTATCATTATCTTATTGTTATCACACCCGGCTCCAAAACCATTTAATCTGTATGGAGCCACTCTGGGTGCGAATAGTCATAGTTGCAGCCATACGAAAACATTTATTAGGGAGAGTAACTCTTGTTAATAATACTCATGAAATGTCTAATATTTTATGGTATCGTCAATATAAGAAAAAAACATATTTTATATAAAAAAAAAAGAAAACTGCTAACATTTTTTGGTAAAAATTAACATGAAATTTATTTTTATATGTTTTTGCATGTTTTTAAACATTATAAATATAACGAAAAATGCTTAGAATAACGCAGAGAATATCGAAGTACCCTTTTGACGTTGAATCAAAAGTCGAATACATGTTTACTGACTAAAGTGTTTCATCTACTGAAAATGGCTGTCCACAAATTGTGTGTTTTGTTTGGCCTCATAGCCCTGGCACATGCTGCATATTCTGCAGCCCAACGTAAGCTTTAAAATTGACTAACCCCTGCAAACTAAACACTGCTAGTAGTAGTATTATTTGTCAGGTTATTGTGGTTGAATAATTTTATTTTTTTTACATTATTAATTACAATAATTAAGGTAATTAAAATTAGATTGTCATTGTCATTGTTGAGATCAGAGATGATTTGTGACTGTCTCTAGACTAGAGTCAAGAGTCACTAGACTAGTACATAGACTTGAACTCTATACTGAACTGGTGTTTCCCAACATGAGGCCCACGCCCCACAGGGGGGAAATTTGATTGTTTAAGGGGGGCAATCTGCATAAAATTTGAAAATTAACCGTCTACTTAGGGAAGTATTATTTTTGAAATTATCATTATCCGCATTATGTGAATAATGCTGAGCGTTATCGGCAGACCGAAATCTTCTAATAATGCCGAGCGTTATCAGCAGACCGAAATCTTTGAATAATGCAGAGTGTTATTGGCAGACAGAAATTTTCCCATAATTACGCAAATTTCTAGCAATAATTAGAATCATATTCCAAGCTGTTGGGGGGGGGGGGGGGGGGGGGGTTAGAGTTAAGTGGTATAGGATATATCGGTCTTTAATGAGCATGGCACAAATACATTTCAAAACCAAAGCTAGGCATATAGGCCCAACATCGATTATAACAGAATCTAATCCTGTTCAGTTTAAGGCTAGTATTTTTTCCTGATCCTTGAGGGTGTCCTTAAGTCTAACCAGCTCTGTAGCTGATAAAAAGTAAATGTGGCTGGTTATTGCACTGGCCATACATATGCAAACTTGTAAACGCTGCTTCAATTCCCCCATGGGTAGGCCAACATGAACTGAAAGGGAACTTTACTTCCCCAAGACTCGTAATGCATCCTACGACCCGGACGGAAATTACGTGACCATTCGCAAATCTGCAAATAATGCCGAGCGTTATCGGCAGACAAAATCTTCGAATAAATGGTGAGCGTTATCCGCAAAGCTCTGTTAATAATTACTTCGTTAAATTTAAATAAATGTATTTCGATGAAAGAGCAACATTAAAGTCTCTATTTACTACTCACTGCAATTTTCAATCGTACTCTTGAGGCGAGTTATGAAATTTCCGTAATCATCGCTAAATCTGGGAAAAATCATACTATAAAAGAGAATTTAATCAAACCATCAATATCAGCATTTCTTAAAACGGTTCTGGAAAAAAAAAAAAAAACGTAAAATCTAGGCCGAGGCTACTCAGTAACAATTCTGTTAGCAGAAGAATAGAATAATTTGATACATATTTTTAAATAGAATGTGCATATGTTTCAAAATATTAAAAAAACAACAAAATCTAAATTTGACTTTGCATAGAATAATGTATAGAAATAAAAATAAATTAAAATTACAGGCCATTAAGTGAACAAAATCACCAAAATTTTGCTGGGTTTTTTGTTTGTTTGTTTTTTTTTTATTTTAACGCCACCCCCTCTCCCTCCCCCCACCCCGGCCTCCCAAATTTTCCTTTTTAAAAAAAAAAATCTGAAAGTGCCTTTTAAATATTAAAAATTTTAATTTTTGTTTATAATTGCTTAATACTGCAAAAAAACCCCAAAAAAGCAGTGGACAGCTTTGTCAGCCGATCGACAACTTAGCTGGGCAGAATAGGCAGGCAAAGCTGCAAAGTGGGATTTTCAAGAAGTCCCTTTAAATATTCCCAATATTTCTGACAAATTGGATTGAGCCAGAACTCCAAGTTCATATAACATTTGTACTTAATTGTAGTATATTTATGCCTTTTATTTTTTTTCTTTTACTTAATTTAATAACTTTGTTATCACTCAATCGAAAATTCCAAATTTTAACAAAATAAGTATAATAGCTCTTTGACTGTGTGTAATTCATAATCATGCTGAAAAAAGACGCATTAATTTAGACAGCACAATCTTAAATATATCTGATAAAATAGTAATAAAATGAAAATTTACATATAATATAACAACCAATGATAAGGTTGGATAATAATACCAAATGTAATTGGTAAACCCAGACCAAATATAATAACATAAAAGCTTAAATTATTTAATTTTTTAAATTATAGTAACAAGATCAAACGTAAATAAAACTTTATTTCATTATGATAATTCAAAACAAGTGTCATTAAATTAGATAGACTTGATTGCTTTAAGGTCTTAAATTTCTTGAGCTTTCTAATCTGTCAACTGACCCTAAATAATACTGTTCCCATTTTTTTTTATCCCTTTCATTTTCAGGGATTAGTTAAATTCATTACTGGCAAAATTCCCCCCCCCCCAACCACTGGCCAACAATAACCTTGTTACCGCCATCTTAGAGACTTGATAAGTTATTGAAATCGGTAAATTTGCGTTTTTAGCATTACATGACAAAAGTCAAAGACTGTTTAAAAAAAATTGAAAATTGAAAGAAAGTTGATCAAAAAATGTTTAAAAAATCATAATAGCACACACAATTCTGTAAAATTCAACAAAATAACTTTAAAACGAAGTAAAAAAAAATGTTTAAATGTCTTTGAGGGCTGCATAATATCAGTTTGCCAGGCCACAGTTTGCACACCCCTGGTGTATGTCATTAAATTTTTACTTATTGTTCTATTTTTTTTATTCTTGTTTTTTGTTAGTGTTGCTAATTTTTAATGTGACTCATTGTATTCTACAGTGATTTCGAAGAAAAAAATATACATAAAAAGTTAATTGATATTGACAAGATAGTAGTATGTGTGACTTAATTTTAAAAGGAGTGTTGTAAAAGTTGTCTTAATTATTTCTTTATTTTAAATTATTTTTTTCATATAATTTATACAGATCGAACATACTTGAGACTTACTGAACAGGAATTCACAATTTTGCCTCATGATGTAAGTTCATAATGTTCATGAAGCCCTTACAATCAAGTCTGCTAGAAGCTTCCCAATAATTTGTGTCAAACTCGTCTTAATACTAGGCCAATGCTGTCCAACCTGTGTTTTCTGCTGCCGGCACCAAATTAAGAATCTTAAACAATTATATGTGTTGGGTTGTTAACAAAAATGATAGTCAAGTTTAAATATTTTTATCATTTTGAAGTGAAAATTTTAAAGATCTGAGAATTTTAAATTCTTAAATAAATCTTTTATGAGCATGTAAATGGATGGTGGCTTCACCACAGTGAAATTTTGGGGACATAGCTTGTGGAAACAGGGTTACAGACACATAAATTCTAGTAAATAATTTAGGCCTGGCCCTTTGCATGTATACAGTATAAACAATATTCGCTGCTGATTTTTACATCTTAGAACCAGGTGCAAATCAAAACAAAAAAATGGCACAACAATAATGAAAAATGAACTATAATGAAATTCAACGCACTTTTTCCTTTTCATGTAAATAGGGCCTGAGCAAAATATCAGCTCAAATGTAATACATTTAGTACTGCCTCACACCCATCTAAGATTAGCATTACTCTTAAAATGGTCAATAAAGGCTTTTTCCCTATCTAAAAATGGAAAAGCTGTAAGGAGTTCCAAAGGTTACTAGTGCAACAGGAGAAAATCTTTTACAGTCTGTATTTAACACCATCACCGAGTGGAAACTTCAGGATAAAGTGATCACCATGTGATTTAACACAACAGCTGTCCAAACAAGATGATTTAATGTTGCTTGTATCCTTTTTAGAAGTTTTTTTGTGGAGATATATTCAAATCGTTATTTGGCTCAACATGAGACCCGAATGTATTGAGTTCAAAAAAATTTCAAGACTTTTGGCAAAATATAGACAAGTCAAATTATGAAACACATGAAGATGGTAAGCTAAAGGGAAATCTGTTCGTGCATAAAAAAAAAAGCAATTGAGTTTGTATTAGATGAGTCTGATACTCTACCCTGAGACGATTATCTTGAATTTTTAGAGCTTACACTTATTTTCTTATGAGAAAAAAAAAAACCCATGTGGTAAAAGATTTCTTGCTCCTGGTGCCTTCCACCATGCACGTTGGATGTCAAAGCAGCTTTAAGAGCTGGAAATGTACATGTTTCAATTCCAGTTTCAACTTAAAAACAAGGAGCAGAAGTCTTGTCTTGAATTCAGTCTCTTTGTAGCGTAAATATATGTTGAACACTGGATGACAACTCCAGATACTTCTGATGCTCCTTTTAGTAATCTGAATTTGATTTTATTGCTAAAAAATTACCAGCCCACTTCAAATGCTGTGTCCAGATCTGGATTGAATGCAATTGGTCGTCATTTATCGTACTTGAGTGAGGAGTTGGTGATATTAGCCTTTTTCTCTGTAAGCGAGAAGTGGCGTTACGTTTCATTAAAACGGCTTCCAGTGAAACAGTTGATGGGCGACACAAAATACTGGTAATGATTACCCAAACAAAACATTAAATACATCTGTTGGTCCATCCTGTGCTCTGTTCTTTGAAATGTTTAATCTGTACACCACTTCCACATGAAAAATTGGTACCGGTACCTGTGAAAAATGTGATTTATGTACAAGCAAAGGCACTTGCCAGATGACTTGGCCATTGTGAACGCCAATGCAGATAGAGGTAGAGCACATGCCAATACTTTCAGCCCTTCCATAACCAAGAATGAGGAACAGAAACAGTTTCTCCTTCATGTTGTTGAAAGCCATCGGAAACATCATCCAAATCTACTACCAAATTAGTGACCAATCTGGATCAATAAATCTTCTGATCTATCATGCAGGAATATTGTCATTAACATTGCAAGTACTTCTGAGGTGATATGTTGATATACTTTTTAATGGGCTAGGTCATATAAAAAATCTGAGGCAGTACTAGTGCCAAGTCTTCACTTTTCATCTGGAAAGTTTTTGTTTTAATTTTTTGCACTAAATGGAATTTTAAAAATGTAGGTGCACTTGAATATTTTTGACTTCGATTTTTAGAACCATCTGTTCTAATCGAAAGCATAAAACATTATATTTAACTGTTTATATAATTAAACATGTTAAATCAAATTCATCAGTTGCCCATGGTGTTGATATAGACAATAAAGTGTTTTAGGGTTGTTCAGACTGAAAGGAGAGCAGAAATGTGCATAAATTAGGCTGCATATTATTGAACTTTGCGTCTTAAAGAATATTACCATCACAAAATACAATTAAAAGTGGGAAAATGATTGAAAACCATAACATGGATTTAAAAGTTAGTTTATAAAACCAAGCCATCACAGAATATAATTGAAAGTGGGCAAAGATTGAATGCTAAACTTGGATTTAACATTTTGTTTTAATATCATGGAATTGTTGCTTAAAGAACATAAGCTTTACCTTTAAATTGGAAAAAAAAAATATTTTTGTTTTTCTATTGTAACAGATTTTTCTCCAGTGCATTCTCGGTCTTCTCGTAACATGTTATGGAGTTGTCCATGTTTCTGGAAGCTTCAAAGAGATCAAAGCTAGTGCAGAGCAAGATACCAAGTGAGTTTTTATAACTTATTGCCTTACTTTCACCCTGTCTGTTGTCATATTTTTGAGAACAGATTTTTGTTGCAAAAAAATCAAGTAGAGGGTGTTTTGTCAAGAAAAATGCTCTTTTTAATTCTACAGATTTACACTTCAGTCTTATTCATGAGATTCCATAGTCTCATTACATCTGTCAAGTTATTGTATAAAAAACTATTTCAGGATGTTTTGTGCTGTTGTAATTTGCTACATGCAATATTCTATGTACATTTATTAGTTGATTTATAACATTTATGTATTTGCATATGCACAAAGACATTTATTCAATATACAGCCATCATCTGTTTATTAAACTCAAAAGTGTCTGACTTCCAACTTAAAAGTTTGGACTTGTGTAAACTAGATTGTGTCTAACTTCTAAGTGAGCTCCAAAGAAATAGATTTTGTCTAAGTGACCCCTAAGGAATAGATTTTGTCTACGTTATATTATACTCACTCTAAAGTCCCATTCATTCCTAAGCTGACAGACTTAATGTTGGCGGGGAAAGGCATGAAAAGTATATAACCCCTCATAAGCCCATAAAGTAATATGCCAGTGCCAACAATAGGGTACCAAACAATGTCAGAAGAGCATGATTAAAAAATAATTTCAATCAAAATTTGTAAAATTTGGCATTAAAACTTTATTTTATTTCAAGAAGAATATAAATCAAACAAATAATTAAAATATCTTAAATTATGGCATTCAGTGCGAAAAAATTTATGGTAAAAAAAAAAAACTACTTAAAGTAATTTGCATTATAAGCTGATCTTTACAAAATAAAATATTATTAGACATTCCCACTTTAGGTGTGTTTCTTTATTCATTATGATCTACTCTGTCCATGTGTGTGTAAGCAACTTATGATTTTATGCATACATGTAAACAATGCGCTGATGTAAACAATAGGCTAATGCCTGTGCAAGAATATCTACTTCACCAACTTGCATTTTTTGACCAAGCACTAACTGTATCTGCGCATTCATTGATATGGGGTTTGACAACAGTTCATTTGAAATATTATAAAAAAAATTAAGGTATTTTGTCATTTTTGTTAATAGATCTATTAAATAAAAATAGATATTTCTTTTGTTAGTTTTTATTGTATTATCAGTAATGTTAAGGATTAGGATTAACAGATCACATTATATTTATGGTCATGGCATTAAAGGGCTGGTTTTCAAACCAAGTGACCAGCTTGCATCATTAATATTGTATACAGCAATATACAGCAAGTGAAGATAGTTCTGAATATTTAAAGCTTTTGGTAACGTATTGGCTTTTAATTTACATTTAAATTTACAGATTACAATAGACTAGGATACAAAAAACATATTCAGTTAATTTACATTTAAATTTACAGATTACAATAGACTAGGATGCAAAAAACATATTCATGGTACCTGAAGAAAATTATAAAAATATCCTAATATAATCCTAATACCCGCTCATAAGCTGAGAACTTATTCCCCTGATTTTATTTTTTAAAAGTCTGTTTTGGATCAAGAATATTTGGTACCGGTAAGTGACATCCTAAGAACTTGATTTGTGTCTTAACATCATCAAAATGAGATGAATCTAAGTGACACCCTAAAAACTATATTGTGTCTGATTGACACCCTGAGAACTAGATGGTGTTTACATGATACTCTATAAACTAGATTCATTTCTCTAATTTTTTTCAATTTTTTCTTTTCAGAACATGGGAAATGCTTGGTAACAGGCAAGGTTTCAACATGTTCCACCATCGGGGCAAAGCTTTGTTTCCCAGACGGAATTTTGCATAACATTGACATCGTGTGTTGTTTTAGTGTCAGGCATTTATGAAAGAAAGTCATTTGTCATGTTAGGTTAGAAGTCGTGTGATAATAATATTACCATGTCTATCAGAATGACCAAGCTGGTGTTTTGTGGTGTGTCCCAGTTATAATTTATATAAAGTTTTGTTGTTGTTTTTTTAATCCGCAATTTTGATTTGGGGCATTTTTTTTGTGGTGTAATTTTCCTGTCGTTGGTTGTTGTCACAACTACAGAAACAATATCCAGCCACACTGGAACAGGATTAGTTTTGGCAGTTTGATTTCATTTCTTTCATGAGATCTTTGAACGTTGTATTCATTTGGTGCCTGCGATTCAAAGATTGGGCCTGCAAGACATTGGTGTATGCTTGTCAATAAGCCAGACAGTATATGAGGAGTGGCAATGAATCAGTGCTTGGCATGTTTGGGAAGTGAGAGATTTCATCCACCATCTTGTTTGGTAAAAGAAAAGATGTTTCCGTTTAGGTGCACTATTAGTGAAATCTTTAAGGATTCACATTAAACCCAGAGTTCACCTCATACATTTACCCCGAGGGCTCACCTCATAACCCCCAAAAGTTCACTTCATCCATTGACACCCAGGGTTCACGACATCAATATTTCATTCTTTCATTCCGTGTATTATACTTTTACTAAGAAAATAAAAAGTTTTCACCATGTGAACTTGAGATCTTTTAAAACTTGAACTTGTTCCACAGTTTTCGTCTGTTCATGTTTTACATGTTATTTATGATTGGATATTTAAATATTTTTGTTGATGGAACAATCATCAGGTCCTCCTACTGAATAAACAATGAACTGAAAGAACTAATAAATCCTTCACTTTGTGGTTTCAAACTTTTATTAATACCAAGACAAGATACTATTGATACAAAGACATTATACTATTGATACTAAGTTACTAAGACAGGATTTCATTGATACTAAGACATGATACTGTTGATACAAAGACAATATACTATTGATATTAAGACAGGATTTCATTGATACTAAGACATGATACTGTTGATACTTTAGCATAGTAGGACATGGTACTGTTGATACTAAGACATGATAACATTGATACTTCAACTTAATAAGACATGATACTATTGATACTAAGACATGATACCATTGATGGTTCCACATAATAAGACATGGTACTAAGACATAATACTATTAATACTAAAGACATGATATTATTGATATTAAGACATGATATTATTGATACTAAGACAGTATACTATTGATACTAAGATGGGATACCTTTGATACAGCAAAATGATAACTATCCTTATTGATACCAAGGCAGTGTGCTATTGATACCAATACCATGCATATGTGAAAAGGGATTGTAGTATTGGAACAAAACATTCTTGTTATTTGACCCAAAAGTTTTATCTGCAAATTTCCCATATGTTAACAGAAAGAAATGAGTCTGCGATTATCATGGTACACTATAGGGCTGCTCTTATGACGCAATGTTTAGTGGCCGTAAACAGATACCGTGGGGGCGGGTGAAATGTTTTCTTTAGACATCGAATTATTCGTATCGAATTCACTATTATTTATATATGTATGCTCTTTAAGACTCAATCTTCAGGAAGCTGTCTTTCCCGTCGTGCCGGCTCAAACAATACAGAAAAGCCTTTTTTCTCTCCTCGCGCTGCTTCTCTGCCTTCCAGTCCCTGTAGGCGAGGTAGAACGCTCGCGCTGTCACGGCCGCCATGGCCTGAGCCTTGTGTCGAGTGCTGCAAAGCACCGCGTGAACGATCAACGCGTCGCCGTTCTGGAAGATCCAGCAGAAGAGTCGTGGATTGACCGACTGGTCTGCGGCGCAGAACGACACGTTCTCGATGGGGAAATGCTGGTTGGCGTTGTTGCTGACGTTGGTCATGGTCAGGCCCGCGAGACCCAATCTAACGACCACGCGGAGCAGGTGCTTCTCACTCGGGGAGTTGTCCCATATCCTCTTCAGCGGCTGGATGGTGCAGCCCGTGCCATTGGAGGCAGACGTCTCCGTGCATCCTACATACCGCACGCGGAATGTTGGCTCGTGGTCTGAGATGTAGGCGCTGTCTCTCTTCAGGGACCACATTCGACCTGTAAACACATCAGTGCATGATTAGTGAACATTCTGCCTATAACACAATATGTGCATGATTAAGGGAACATTCTACGTGTAACACAATATGTGCATGATTAATTAAAAATTCTACCTGTAACACAATCAGCGCGTTATTAGTGAACAGTCTACCTGTAACACATAGTGGCAAGATTTACTCAGGCTTTTGTTGTTATTTTGCATCATGAAAGACATTAACATCTGACCACTAGCTTTATTTTATAGTATATTTTATACTATAGTACCGTAAACAGGAAAAAAAGAAGAAACTATTTAAAGATGTATACTTTATATATATATTATATAAAATTAATTTTTATATATATACATTATATTATAATATATATCTAAACCTGCGCTAAGGGTGGCGAACGGGGAGTCTGCTCTAAAGCATTGCGCTTGTTGGGGGGGGGGAAGGGGGGCATTCGTAGCCCTTATAATATAATGCTAAGTATTATTGACACGGCCAGGTCGTGCCTATTCACACAACGTAATTGTAATTTCTAGTCAGCAGTTCGGAGGTACAAGATAAATGAAATGATTAGTCTGTCCTTGTCCCGTACTGTCCCTCCAAGTTCAGTCGTGTGAAGGACCTAAAGTGAAGAGTGAAGCTGGCTGAGTCATTGTCCTCCAAGCTGAATGCTGGGGATTTTTTTGAATTTGAGCTTGGCATGGTCCTGTGTGCTGTCAACAACGTCAGCAAGATATTGCAGGCCCTGGCCAGGCAACTCAATGTCGCCATCACACGTCAAGTCCAAGGTCTAATCCGTTCCTTCGCCCACTGCCCACTACAGAGAAGGAAGATTTGCATCAACAATGACCACTTTTCAAAGGAAATCGCATCAGAAATGGCCATCGGCCCGGTGTTTCAAGAAGGTCGCAATAGATGAAGAAATGCTCAGTTCGAATATGAAACTAAAGACAAGACAACAACATACGGTGCGCCTGAAGAACGAACTGGGTAATCTTTCTTAGACCAGAAGTTAGGATCCTTGAAGAAACAACTGCAACCAGGGTCTGCCTTTGGTATACAGGCTAATCAGGTAACTGTCAGGAGCGCCAAATTCTTTGGACGCCTTTTTTTGTTTGTTTGTTTTTTTTTTTTTTTTGTTTTGTTAATGAATGATAACGTGATCGCCCAGCTCAGAAAGATTCTCCGGCAAAGGAAGAGACAAATTCTTGGTGCAGAGGGATTCCCAGTTGTACAGGCTAATCAGGTAACTGTCAGGAGCGCCAAATTCTTTGGACGCCTTTTTTTGTTTGTTTGTTTTTTTTTTTTTTTGTTTTGTTAATGAATGATAACGTGATCGCCCAGCTCAGAAAGATTCTCCGGCAAAGGAAGAGACAAATTCTTGGTGCAGAGGGATTCCCAGTTGGCTGTCAAGAGACACCGACAAGAAACTCCTGAAATGAATGATTCGGAATAGCAAAGAAATTGACACATTTCCCAAGATCATTTTCTATGTAAAAAACAAAGACTAAATCTTTCTTTTTTTTAAATTTACATTTAATTTATGTTTTTTTCCCCCTCTCTCTTCATTTAAACCTTGAAATACACGTATTCTTTGCCGTTTAGTCAGGTAAACGACCGGATGTTAATAAAAAATAACGATTCTTTCATCTTGAAATTGAAACGGATTGTCTCCATTTCATTGATTTCAATGTTTCGTGTGACGAATGTTTCGGGTTGCGAATTAAGTTCGTAACCCGAGGTACCACTGTAAATGGCCAAGCATAATGTAACGTGATAAAAAAACATGATGCTGCCTACCACGAAAACATGTTGCTGGTCATGAACTAACGTAGCGAGAGTATATTGTACCAGTCAAGAAATTTAGCCATGAAATAATCAACAATGAATTTCACATACTGTACCAGCACAGCGTCAAGTTTAAAAACGGCATTAAAACATGTAGGCCTACAGGTATTTAAAAAAAAAAAAACCACATTGCTACGGTAGCTCGCTTATACAACACAATATCATAATGTCATTGACAGCTAGCATAAAATCACTGACAGCCAGCGTAAGATAACTGACAGCCGTAGCTTGCAAGATAAATGACAGCCAACAGAAGATCAATGACATAGCCAACATTACTGGAAAGCAAAGGCAATATCACTGACAGCCAGCGTAAGATAACTGACAGCTATAGCTGATAAGATATAATGACAGCCAACAGAAGATCGTTGACATTATATCCAGCATTAATGGAACGCAAAGGCAATATCACCGACAGCTAAGACATCACTGCAGACAGCTACAACGTCCTCCAAACCTACTCTTGAGATTCCAAGTTGTTTCAAGGCAACGCCATGACTAATTTGTTCAAGTTCAATGATACGATGACAGCTACCTACCTGAATCTAACTCACCTCTGAAGTTCCTGGCAGTAAAATGAACTGACCGAATAGTGGGCGGTCTGCTCAACTGTTTGCCTCGTGTACACTCATCGTTTGTCTCTCCTGATTGTGTGTGTACCTCATCGTTTGTCGCCCCCCCCCCGCTCTCCTGTTTTTATGTACACCATGCACAACCATGTCATTGTGTTTGTGACGAGTGTTGGATGGATGGAGCAGTTGTTTCCCGTTGATTTTGTCAGAGTTGGAAAGTCAATGTTTGGGAAAGTCGGGATGGAGGGGCGCGGGGGGGGGGTTGAGGGGGAGGGGGGATAATTAAATGTTTTCGGGTGAGAAAGAGAGAATGCATTTGGTGAAGTGTTGAGAAATGGAGAGAAGTGCGGGACCTTCGATTGAAAGATTTAATAGATGAACGAGAACCCAATGAGAGATTCTGATATTTCTAAACATTGACTAAAGTACTTAAAAACACTAACGCACCAAGCCTTTAAACAAATAATACATAATTTTCTGGCATTCGTCCGTCACAATGTGACGATGGTGACAATGGTGTAGACTTCGCAGGACGAAATCCACAAGGCCTGGGATTATTCTTTTCAGGATTATAAGGCTGGTGCCTTACACAGCAAATCGCCTCTCCCCACGCCGCTGGATAGCCCAATGGAACATCAGTGGCGTCGCAGGAATTGCCGGAATGTTTCATTGTGTCAATGTTATTTTTATTCTTTAGAAGCCCCACAATCTAAATTTTCTTTAAAATTGATTGTTTTGCTAATGTGAAATTCGTATAAACAAATAGTTCGTCTTTGGCAACACCCACTTTAGGACTTGAATAACGCCCCTAAAAATGTGTGGTGGGGTGGGTGGGGGTGGGTAGGTGGGGTGTGTGTGTGGGTAGGTGGGGGGGTGGGGGGGGGGGGGTGGGTGGGTAGTGGGGGTGGGTGG